CTTAATGACTGAGCCACCCAGGCGCCCCGAGCTAGTCTATTCTTAAGAAAGAAAAGATGAACCCTCAATCAGGTCTGGATAATTACCAGCCCCACCTCAAAAAGCAAACCTGATGCAATTTCAATTCTGCCATGTTCTTAAAAAGTCAAGAACATGGCCCACTATTCACACTAGTGATCTAGGGAGAGAAAAGTTTAGTAGTCACAGTAATACTAGAAAGCATGGCAGAATCTATTCCCACACTAAGAAAAACCCTTTCCAAAGCAGCTGACTCTTGCCTTAGAAAAGCTAGTATGTGAAAGCACATACACAAACACAATTTTTATATCACAGATAATGTAGTCAATGTTATGCAAGAGCAGCTGGATGGTGCTAGGAATGAGAGTACTTAAATAGCCTTGGCTGACTGCGGAAGGGTCTACTACTGGGAGAGTGAATAGGCCCTTCCCTCCCAGCAGTGATCAGGACAGCGGATAGACCTGTGGGAAATGCTCAACTGTAGGTCAGAAAGGATGGAGACTATTACCTAGGGAGTATCAAGGAAAAGCTTGCATCTTCATACTGGATTTTGTTTGTGTGTGTGTGTTTTGGATTCTAACTGAATATTCCCAGGTCAGAGACATCTGGTCGGAACATAAAGGCTAACCTGATCACATTTTATTTTTCTTGAAACTTTTTCATTCACATAAAACTAGTCCATGACAGTCCCTAGTACCTAGGCCTGGAGAGTCAGCTGAGATGATTATGTTCTGCCATATTCCTCCGTATAGCAGCTCTCTTCTTAAACTAAAGAGCATAATGGTCATGCGCATGGCCCTCAAGATGCAGGTTTCAGTCATATTCCTGTCACTAAGCCCCTGCCTTAGCCTCAGGCTCCTAATCTGCAAAGTGACAGGCATATGATCACAAGAGGGTCACCAAGAGTTTTAAACATTCTGCTTTGGACATTTTATTAAAATGGCTGGCAAAGAAATACATGTTAATTATCAAAAACTATCAGCCATGTGGATGAAGATTAGAAAAGATAAATGTTTAATTTCATAACACAATACATTTTTTTTTTTAATTTTTATTTATTCATGAGAGAACAGAGAGAGAGAGAGAGGCAGAGGGATAAGCAGGGTCCCAAGGAGCAGGGAGCCCAATGTGGGACTCGATCCCAGGACCCTGGGATCGTGACCTGAGCCGAAGGCAGACGCTTAACCATCTGAGCCACCCAGACGCCCAATACATTCTCTCTTTAAAAAAGTATTTTAAAAGGCTAAAGCCTCTTTGAACAACCTCTGAATCCTTACCTCACTTCCTAGAGTAAAACACCATTACCAGTTTGGAACATAATCATCTCAGTATTTTTTTTTTTTTTTTTAAGATTTTATTTATTTGACAGAGAGAGAGGGCACACAAGCAGGGGGAGTGGGAGAGGGAGAAGCAGGCTTCCCACAGAGCAGGGAGCCCGATGCGGGGCTCGATCCCAGGACCCTGGGATCATGACCTGAGCTGAAAGTAGACACTTGACAACTGAGCCACCTAGGCGCCCCTCAGTATTTTTCTACACATTTAGATATATAAACCCATAACAAAATGCTGATTTTTCTGTTCTTTTAAAATCCACAAATGTGGGGTGCCTGGCTAGTTCAGTTGGTAGACTATACAACTTGATCTCAGGATCATGAGTTCAAACCCCACATAGGGCATGGAGCCTACTTAAAAAAAATAAATAAAACCCCCAAGTGGTATCATACTTTATCTTGTTCTACAACCTCCTTTTATCTTAAAAGTCCACCCATTAGTTTATGAAGATGGCTATTAACCTCTTCAATAGGTGTAAAGTATTTCATAGTATAAATGCTATACAATTCAGCCATTACCTTACCACCAGATTTCATAAGCTTCCCCCACCCCCATTATAAACAATGCTACAATAAGGAGACATGTACAAAGATGCTTAGGCATACAAGGGGATTATATCACAAGTACAAACTAGAAATAGAACAGCTGGGTCACAGGGAAGAATCTAAGTAAAACTGTCCTGCCATATGAACTGCCCTGAGGTTGTGAGATTTTTAGAAGACAGCAGGGTATAAAGTAGTCAGTACCGCCAATGGGAAAGGTGAATCAAATGGCAAAAATCTGACGTACCTCAGGAATATATTAACTACCCAAAGTAATGTTAGTCACCTAAAGATCCCACCATGCTGAGTAGGTGAGAGTTATAAATTCAGACACCAGGGCTTTGCTTAAGGTCTGTGGCTGGTGGCCAACTTCATTCTTTAAATCCCAACTCATTTACCTGCTTGGGAACCTGGACTTCTGCTAAGAGGAGAAAGGGAGAGGGCACCATGGCCCTCGGTGCTGGTGGGACCCAAAGCAGAACCGGAGGTGCAGGTATAGGAATTGAAGGCAGGAAACTGCTGTAGATTCTCTAGGGGAATGTGGACTTCTGGGTCTGCAAAGAAAAGATGAGAATGGTAGGCCCATTTAGAATATTCCTCAAATCTTTTCCAACAGTTGAGGACCATCAATATGAATCCCCCAAGGATCTAAAAAAAAGGATATAAACAGAAGCTTTAAAACCCAAATTTAGGGGCACCCGAGTGGCTCAGCAGGTGAAGCGTCTGACTCTTGATTTCAGCTCAGGTCTTGACCTCGTGGGTTGTGAGATCGAGCCCACCTTGGGCTCCGCCCTCAGAGGGGAGAGTCTGCTTGGGGATTCTCTCCCTCTGCCCTGCCCCCTCTATCCACCCCCCCCCTCCCCCCCCACCCCACTTGCCTGTGCATGTACTCTCTCTGAAATACATAAATCTTTTAAAAAAGTGAAATAAAAAATAAAAATTAATAAATAAATCCCTTGTTCTTACTATTCCTAACTGAAGCTAGATGATAAACATGGGGCTTAACTTATTATTCTATATACTTGTCTTTGAATATTTCCATAATAAAGAAGGCAAAACAAAAAGCCCCTGTTCCTGAAACACCAGTTTTTCAAACATTTGGGAAATGTCCCAAACAGCTATATAGCACTGGGACCCCAGCTATACACTTAACCTAGTTTAAGAAGTAAAAAAAATTTAAGATTTTTTTTTTTTTAAATTTATTCATTTGAGACACACAGAGAGAACATGAGCAGGGGAGAGAGGTAGAAGGAAAGGGAGAAGCAGACTCCCTGCTGAGCCAGGAGCCTGACGTGGGGCTCGATCCCAGGACCCCAAGATCATGACATGAGCCAAAGGCAGACACTTAACCAACTGAGCCACCCAGGTACCCCAGAGAAGTAAAATTTATGTTTACCATACTATATGTAGTCAAAAACAGTGAAGTCCTTCCCTAGCAGAGGACTCAATTCTTTGTTTTCTGGAGGAAAGTAGGCCCTCATGTCACACTAATCTCCTGGGTTCAATGAAGCTTATGTTGGAGGAGCAGATCAAAAGACTCTATACTTACTGGTATGAAAATCTAACCTGGACGTATTTCCTAGTTTGTCAAGGTTTCTACTATACAGACCCCCTTGGCAGACATGCTCTACTAAGTATAGATGTCCCCTTTAATACAGTCAAAGGTGGGACCAATGTTCCATCTAGAGTGCACAGGAGACAAATCAGACACCAAATTCAGCAGATCTCCAATTCTCTTCCCAGAACATGTTTTTTCACCACTACGCCAAGGATGAATTTAACCTCATCCCTTAAGAGCTATGAGCTTTGACTCACATTAACCCACTTAATTCTCAAACAAGCCTATGAAGGAGGTACCCTCATGATTCACATATAAGAGTTGAAGAAAACAAGTGGCAGGGCTGAGATGTGAACCAAGCAGTCTGGCTCCTGGGCCCAAGCACTGAGACTCTCCTAAGACCACGCACAGCTGTACTAGTCAATTTTGGGAGCTCCTGAACTTACACTTGCCCTGTTTCTTGTTCTCCTCCATCTCAATCCTGCGCTCCCGGCGGCGTTCCTCCCGAGCCTTCTTCTGGCGCTGACGCTTCCTCTTCTCAATGTCATCTGTGGGTTGGTCAGATGGTGAGGAGGCAGCCCAAGGACAGCCTAACCATTAACTCCTCCCAGGTGACTAGTAGCTAAGGCTACACAAGGGAACAGCCGGACTGGATGAATAGATGGAGTGTTTCTGGAGGTATGGAGGCTCATGATGGAGCTCCTTAATTCCTCCCACACTGGGTTTCCAGTCAGAAGAACCCCTGAACTCCTCCATGAAGAGAAGCAGAGTGGGTGCATTCTTACCTGAGAATATCTCTAGGGTTTCCTTAGAGACCACAGGAGGCTGCAGAGCCAGCTCACAGATGCTGAACTCACAGGTGAGCGGCAGGTGAGAGAGGTATCTATGGCGCTGTCGAACGTCCTACCATGGAAAAGGGACCAAAACTCAACTAACACTGGGCCAGGCTCTGAGGACAGAGGTTCCCACCCCAGACAGCCAACAGTACGCACACTCACACACAGCATGGGGGCTCAAAGAGCAGTACTCAAGTTACCACCATTTTGCAAAGCCAAACAGAAGCTGTCAATTAACATACAGTAAGGTAGAATGAGCAACCAAAAGGCAGTTTTTAGGTTTGTGTTGCAAATGAATAAATTGGTAATAAATAATCTAAAGCTGATCAGCTATTTCTGATTTTCTGGGGCCCACAACTGAGGGGGGAGAACAAGGGGAGATAAAAGAGTATTTGAAAACCTGGGATCCACAGACAAAATTAATGGTAACTGGGAAGGCAGATAAAGCAGATTTCTCTATGAATAAAGCTTGGCCTGAAACAGTGAAAAAATGAAGGCCATCTGGGGCACCTGGGTGGCTCAGCTGGTTAAGCAACTGCCTTCAGCTCGGTTCATGATCGTGGAGTTCCCAGGATCGAGTCCCACATCGGGATCCCGGCTCAGCGGGGAGCCTGCTTCTCCCTCTGCCCTCTCCCCTCTCATGCTTTCTCTCTCTCTCGCTCTCAAATAAATAAAATCTTTAAAAAAAAAAAAAAATTAAGGCCATCAATTTAAGTTTCTTTTCCATTCATTTTCTGCATGTTTGATGGAAAATTTACGGTACTCACAGTCTCTAATTTTGAGGCTTGTAACAAATTTGTGATCAACACAGGGATAACTCTCAAAGGGTAAAAACTCACATATGTAAATTATCAGACAATAATTAACAGGTTATCTGCTGAGCCAAAAATGTGTTTCAAGCCTGTATAACCTAGTGTAGAGCATCCAAGAACTTTTCGATTCCTTGGACATTTTTCTCAAGCCATAAAGAAAAAGAGAAAAACAAACTCATCTTGAGTGAAACTGGGACAAACCACAACAAATGAACCTGTGAGGCAGAGAGCAGTGGTGACTAACAGAACCCCAGCATGATAAGGGAGCACGATTTAATGTCTCAAAACTTTGCGGGCATCGTCAGTGACAAAAATAGACTTACAAATACAAGAGCTACGATCCCTGAAGGATTGGGAGCATGGGCTGGCTAGCCCACGTCAAAGAGAACAGGTCGATGGCACTCCGGAACCGTGCCCCTCAGGGCAGGCAGGACCTTACCTCGGACATGGAGTAGCCGGCAATCTCCACCACTACCGCCGAGATCTTCTCCGGGCTCTGCTCCAGGCTGCCGTACTCCCTCACAAGGCAGCGCACATTCACAGGGTGCAGGAACATGTGCTGCCCGTCCTCCGCTGAAGACAAGCGCTCTCTCACACAACAGTCTTGGCCGGTCCTCAAGAGAGGGCCCCCCGCAGAGCTAGGCCTGCCTCTCCCTCCCCGAGGCCGAAGGCACAACAGACCCAAGTGCCCACAACCAGCAGCAATACCTCCTCCTGCTAAGAGGCCAGGTCATCTGGCTGAAACCTCTCTATGGCAACCCAGCCCTCCTCTCGGGGACACTCACCTTGGTAAAAGTAGTAACAAGGAGAGCTGCTCAGGTGTGTGAAGCCTGGCTTGGTGATGGGTTCCTGCTGGCTGGACTCAGGACAAATGGTCCCCTCTCCGAGACTGTCATCTGCTAACTCTGAGTCATCACAGGCCTCGGGCTCTGGGTCAGACACTGCTTCCTCTTCCTCCACCAGAGGGAGAGCAAGAGGACGAGGGGAGCCCAGAGAACAAACTTCGGTGGTCTCTTCATCAAAAGCAGACAGATACTCTAGCACACCCTGTTGGGACAAATTCTACATCAAAAGAAAGTACATGTGGCAAAGGTAGGCACCGGAACCCAGTTCTCTGGATGTTTTTTTTAGCTGTCACATTCACGGATTTAACATCCCTGGGTGAAGAACTAATAAGCACGCAGGAAATCTCACAGCCCCTCCTCTCCCCACAAAGTCCAGCGCCTACAACCTCAACAGCAGCACTGACGCACGGCAGCCGTTTAGTCTGGAACAGGGACACACTCACCTTCCTGGGTTGAAAAGCGGACTCCTTCGCCAAGGGAGCCATCAGCACCAGTTGTTCCAGGGCCGGCACAACACCAGGGACCTCCCTTCCGCTTTCAGTCAATCCTGACAGAGCCTCTTCCCGAGTCTAGACCACCAGAGAGAAGACCAGAGAAAGCTAACTTTCCAGAAACACTGAATTTGGCAAGGGCTCACAACGGACTCTCTCCACAGAAGCGTAAGTTAAAAGGCAACAAGACCCAATGGGAAGAGTGCTCCCATCCCCCCTCACTGCTTTATTTTTCTCCACAGCATTCATTTCATCTAATCCTATATATTTTGATTATTTATTTTGACTATTTTCAATCTTGCTCTTAGAACGTAATTGCCAGGGGTGCCTGGATTTTAAGTACTTAAAATCCTCAATCTTTAAAGGAAACAGGAAGCAAAAAGCACGGGGTACCCAAATGGGATGGTATTCTACTTAGAATCTGTGACAGTGACAATGGTAACACTACACAAAAGCTTCCTGAATACAAAGCCAAGAACACGGAACTCGTCTTCTTGTCTTTTTTTTTTTTTAAAGATTTTATTTATTTATTTGAGAGAGAGAGAATGAGAGAGAGAGAGAACACATGAGAGGGGGGAGGGTCAGAGGGAGAAGCAGACTCCCCGC